CCCGCCGGGCCCGCCGTCGCCACCCCGCTCCCGGCCCCGGGCACCTCGGCCCTCTTCACCTTCTCGCCCCTGACGGTGAGCGCGGCCGGGCCCAAGCATAAGGGCCACAAGGAGCGGCACAAGCACCACCACCACCGCGGCCCCGATGGCGAAGCCAGCTCCTGCGTCCCGGGCGATCCCAAGCACAAGGACAAACAGGAAAACGGCGAGGGGACTGGAGGGATGACTGCGATGAAGGCCCCGAAGCGAGGTGAGCGCGGGCGAAGTGCCCGGCCTTGGGCTGGAGGTCTGTCTGGGTTCCGACATCCCGCCCCGTTAGTGCCGAGAGACTCCCCAGCCCTGCCGCCGCCTGCTGCTGCTCCCCGGAGCCCACCCGGGTGGCCCCCCGGTTTCTGGCCGTTGACACAGTCTGACCTAATTGAGCCTTCGTGCTCCGAGGCCGAGCTGTCATTACCAACCCCCTTTGCAGTTCCTCGGAGCCTAGAGACGTTTGTTTTCAAATTCGGCGAGGTTTCCGCGCCGCGCGGTCCCTGGGTTGGAATTAGTGGATGGGGTACTAAAAACTGCCTTTCTGAAGTAAAGGCGCGTCGCTGAAACCCTTCTCCTTCTTGTTCTTGGAAATCTTTGGTTTTTACGGCCACCCCTCTACCCCCGCCCCCAGGTATTCGTAGGTCTGGTTCGGGGCGTGTATGAATTATTATAGAGGCTACACAACTCTCTGGGTGCCTTAGTCTCTGCAAGGTAATCTTTACCTTAATCAAACACAGTTCGTTTTTCTTTTTATCTAGAAGTAAAAATGTTCTTAAAACTTTTTATTATTTTAGTTCTTAGGATAGGGTTAGATGAGGTTTTCTCTCCTATTTGGACCTAGGAAACACGACCGATGCCTCTGAAAAGAGGTGAGTGCAGTTGATAGTAGAGGTAAGAATTCCACTTGCATTTTATTCTGTCTAGTGCAGTTTGAACAGCTATGTAATTCCAATAACCTTGAAGAATATTTAACCCAGAAAATGTAGGACTATTTAATTAAACGTGGATTCTAGGGAAATTAAGTTGTTTTCCTATTCCCACGTATTTGTACAATTTATTTATATCCTGTGTGGAAGAAGTGAGATAATGCTTTTGATTGTGTCACTTGTTTGTGCTTTGTATATGATTTTAAATCATTTATTGTATTTTCTCAAGATTTTAAGCTATTTCTGGGTCTTGCTACAGGGTCAGTTTGGTTATTACATTTTACTGAACCAGTCTTTCAATCTAAAGTTCTGGGAGCCTTACATTCTTTCCACATACTTGGTCTTAGGGCCAACTGATTTTTTGTGTGCTGCTGCACTTCCAGTAGTGCTAATACAATAATTGCTCAGTAAGTAGTTATTGAATAGAAATAAATATTTCTCTAGTTGTGTCCAAGTCTCATCCTCAGAAGTAGAACTTAGGACAAGCTGACAGGTGGAAACATTGATGGTTTCCCCCATTAATGTGGAATGGTCTTACTTTCTTTATTTTTACCTTGCTTTCTTTATTTTTACCTTCTTTGTGTGTGTGTGTGTGTGTGTGTGTGTGTGTGTGCGCGCGCGCGCGCACTCTCATCCATACAGAGCTAGGTGGAATCTTAGCCATCATTTGTTTTAAGTTTGTGTGGCAGAAGAGAAAACCAAGGCCCAAAAATAGTGAGGAGATTCATCAAATCACAGTTAACTAGAACCAAGTACAAAAAGTAAGAAATTTTTAAAATTAAAAAAATTTAAAGTCATTGGCACAACAGGATGTAGAACTGATTTGTGAACCTTGATTCAAGCACAGCCCCAAGTCACGTGATTTTGCTTTCTTTCCTAACTCATTTTTCCCACTCCTTTGCTTATATTTTTCCTGTGCTTGATACTACATTGGCAGTGGCCGATTCTAAATCAAGAATCTCAGACCTGGCGCCATTTTACAGGTAGATGGTGGCAGTGACGTAGTAATTCACAGAGTATTTCTGAAGATTGCACAGGTCGCATTTTCTTTTGAAAAAGAAATAAAAATGTCTGTAATCCAGTATTGATGGATAGAACTGATAGTACTGATGGATAAATGACGGAAATGTTTTACATTTCTGCTATCCAGTGTGGTAGCCATATGTGGCTCTTGAGCAGACTTGAAATGTAGCTAGTGTGACTGAGAAAGTGAAATTTTAATTGTATTTAATTCGAATTTATAGTTGGCCATATATATATAGCTATTGGGTACCACAGTGTTCAACATCTGTAGTTACTAATGTGGATGAGAAATAGGTTAAGGTCAGGCCATTTAGGCATTTTAACTTTTGGCTGGGAGATTGTTGCAATGTATACGCAAACTATATTATTGAGAAAAGAACTTAGAAACATTCGGTAAAAACTGCACTGTAGTAGTCTAGGTACTTGACATGCATTGGCATTTTAATTTTTAATTTTTTGTCTTTTTGAGACAGGGTCTCACTATGCAGTTCAGGATGGCCCTGAGCTCACTTTGTAGCCCAGGGTGGTCTGGAACTTGCAGCGATCCTCCTGCCTCAGCCTCCCTAGTGCTGAGATTACAAGCGTGCGCCACCACGCCTGGCTGCACTCCGAAAACTGTACAGAAAAACTAGTTTAACTGTTGCTTAGTCCCAGGTTTTGCACACCACTTGGTAGTTTTTTCCCTTTCTGAATATGTTTATTTTTGTTACCTTCATACAAAAGACATGCCTCTGTAGTTAATCTGAATTTAAATTGTGGCTCTTCCACCTTAACCTCTCTCTTTAGCCATAGTTTTCCTGTCTGTAAAAATGGGTTGTAGTATTTCATTTATAAGGTTGTTATATGGACTTTTTTTTGTCCTTTTGAGACAGGGTCTCGTTTTGCAGTTCAGGCTGGCCTTGAGCTCACTTTGTAGCCCAGGCTGGTCTCAAACTCCCAATGATCCATCTGCCTCAGCCTCCCAAGGGCTGGGATTACAGGTGTGTGCCGCCACACCGGGCTGTTACCTGCATTACATGGAGCAGTATGTGGAAAGCACTTAAAATACTGCTTGGCCTATGGTAGGCCCTTAATTAAAACTGGCTTTTATTTTTTTTTGTAACTGGTCTTTGAAAGAACTGTAAGATTAATAAGGAGAGTAGGTAGACTTCTTTTTCAGGGGGATGGGTACTGGGAATCAAACTCAGGAAGACTTAACTGTTTATAGAGCTGTATCTTCCCTTTGCTTATCCTCTAGTTTTTAGAAAGTATTTTAACTTTTTGAGATAATTACAGATTCATAGAAATTGCAAAAATAGTACAGAGAGGTCTTTACCTTCTACCAGTTTCCTTCAGTGGTTACATCTTACATAACTGTTGCATAATACCAACACCAGGAAATTGACATGCTGCAATGTGTATGTGTAGATTTATGCCATTTTATCACATGTGGATTAGTGTAATCACCTCTGCTATCAACATACAGTACTATTTCATCTCCACAAAAATCTCTCTTGCGCTATCTACCTTTATAACCTTAGATATTCCTTTGCTTTCTCCACCCTCCCAACCATTCCTAACTCCTGGCAACTGCTAATCTGTTTTCCATCTCTAATTTTGAGAACATTTATAAATGGAATCATACAATATGGAATCTTTTTCTTTTCCCCCGGTACCGGGAATTGAACTCGGGACGTCGCGCTTGCCAGGCAGGTGCCTTGCTGCTGAGCTAAATCCCAAGCCCAATATGTAGTCTTTTGAAGTTAGCCTTTTTCTTTCAGCATATTGTCTGTGAGACCATTCACATGGTGTATATATCAATACCTCTTTCCCTTTCATTGCTGAGTAGTATTCCATAGTATGGATGTACTTTTGTTCCCCTGTTGAACTGTTTGTCTATTGAAGAACATTTTGGTTGTTTCTGGTTTTGGGCTATTACGAATAAAGCTTCTCTGAACATTTTGTGTGGAAGTAAATTTTCATTTCTCTAGGGAATGTGATTCCCAGGTCATACTTGAAGTACAAATTTAGGTTATATTTTTTAACATACTGTTTTCTAGAGTGTCTATACCATTATATATTCTCCACATTCTTGATAATATCTGGTGTTGTCACTTTTTATTTTAGCTGTTTAGCTAGATATATGGTGATATCTTATCATGGACTCATAGCTAATAATGTCAACTTTCCATGACATCATTGTCCATTTAAATATTCTAATTAGTAAATTAACTCTTAATATAATGCCCACTTTCTTGTAAGTTTTTTTTTTTTATTGTGTTTTGAGAATTCTTTTTAGATTACAGGTATAAGTCCTTTGTCAACTTAGGTGGCTTGCAAGTTCTTGCTTGTAGTATGTTGCTTGTCTTTCATCTTAACAAGATCTGTCACACAGCAAAAACAAACGAAGTTTTAAATGTTGTTGAAATTCAATCTATTGAGTTTTTTGTCTTTAATGAGTCATGTTTTTGATGTCATGTCTAAAGTCCCAAGGATTTCCTTCTGTTTTTTCTAAAAGTTTTATAATTTAAAATTTTACACATAAATATGTAAATCTGTGAACCACTTGAGTAATTTAAGTGGTGGTTCTTTTGGTGGAGGGTGGAAATTGAACAGTTTTAGCACTTTTTGTTGAAAAGATAATTCTTTTTCCATTGAAATGCTTTTGTACCTTTCTCAAAAATCAGTTCTCACCAGGCGTGGTGGTGCACGCCTGTAATCCTAGCATTTGGGAGGCTGAGGCAGGAGGATCGTTGCAAGTTTGAGACCAGCCTGGGCTACAAAGTGAGCTCAAGTCCAGCCTGAACTGCATAGGGAGAGCCTGTCTGAAAAAGACCAAAAAAAAAAATCAGTTCTCTTTGTACAACTAGTTAGGTAAAAGTTGGTTTTTACATTTTAAATGGTTAGGAAAAATCTCACATCACATGAAAATTACATGAAATTCAAAGTCTGTGTCCAGAAATAAAGTTTTATTGGGACACAGCTCTGTTCATTCATACATGTTGTCTATGGCAGTTGTACATTAGTGAAACTGGTAGTACTAGTAGCAGAATAGAGCAGTTGAGACAGACCATATGTCCTGCAAGTCTGCTATCTTGTTCCTTACAGAGAAAGTTTGCCAGCCTGAGTTTAGCTATAAGACAGTCCTACACACCAGCCTACCAGTACTCAGTCGAAATTCATTTGTAGGTTTGTACAAATCATTATGATCCCAGACATTTAGAGTTGCTTGTAATTAATTGAAACAGTCTTTAAATGTTAGGATAAATTTGCTTTATCCGTAAAATAGGAA